GTAACATTTTTTCTCTCTTCTGTCAATCAAACTTACATATAATAGCTTAGGGTCGCCAATCTTTGTAAGCCATTAACACCTTCATGAAATACATATATATATATATATATATATATATATATATATATATATTACAATGAATCATTCATGAAAAAAGTAGATTAGTAAAGTTAATGATATAAAATGGCGAAATCCTTTCGCAAACAAAATTTGAAAAGTGCATTAATTTACGAATCACTCGATGAATGTTAAGATCCTTGTTTTTAAAAAGTATAAACTGTATAAGGTCTTTCTTTAATATGCTAGTACTTTCAACTGTACATTCAAGGATCATAATAATCATCGAGTGATTTGTAAGTTAATCCACCATTAAAATTTTGTTTGCGATTGCGTTTAAGCAGGAAACAGACGGTCGCCTCTGGGTGTTGACTTCAATGTCCAATTTTATATTTATATTTACATAGGTTCTATCCCTGGTGTTGAGCACTTTAACCCATAAATATAGCATACCTTAAAACTATATCGTATTATATATATATATATATATATATAAATTGGGGTAGCAGATCATTATTTAAAGAAATATTGTTAAATATAACAGACAATGAATGTTTATTATGTCTGATCATGAGCCGTTATAATGTTCGGATGTTTGCTTTAATTTCTGGTGAAAATAAAGGCAAAAAAAAAATTGTCGAACATTTCAAACTAGTCACAACACATTACATTGCATCTAGACATTGGTTCCGTTGTAATACTTCGGTCTATCGCGTGGTATGACGTCATAGAACCGCATCTTCAACTTACGATCGGCATCTGCTATTCCGCGAACGTTATTGATGTGGACCACAGAAGGAAAACACGGAACACAGATTAGATGTAAGAAAGATATATTAACAACAGGTTACAGAGATAGTGTAAGCGGAGCTTACTATATGTTAGTGTCCAATACTGGTAGTCGTACGCGGCTCTCTCTGTGTCTCTCTATCTCTCTGACTCTCTGTCACTGTGTCTCTGACTAGAGTGCTATGTCGCCTACTTAATATAGACCTGGAAGAGTCTATTATGTAGGTAGTTCCGGTCTGACAATAGTTATCGTCGCATAGCAATTTTCTACGTCAAAATAACAAAATATCTGACGGGGAATGTCTTTGTTTCATGTCTGTATAACCACTCGGAGGATGGCTCACGTGAGCCGAAATCTTCGGACCAACTTAATAAAAAAATATCCAAATGTTGAACAATTTTGCCTTTATTTTCACCAGAAATTAAAGCAAACATACGAACATTTGAACGGCTCCTGATCAGACATAATAGACATTCATTGTCAGTTATATTTAATAATATATGTTTAAATAAAAATATGTTTCAATACACACACACACACACACACATATATATATATACACACACACACACACACACATATATATATATATATATATATATATATATATATATGTGTGTGTGTGTGTGTGTGTGTGTATTGAGAGATATATCCAGGTAAAATGAGAACAAATGGAATATAATTCCAATGTACGTATCATTTAATTTAAAGTAGACTCAATACATATTACAGCTAAATATTATTTATTTTAGGATATTAAAACGTTAAAAATCGCTACATAATTGGAATTATTTTTCAACACAATAAATGTGTTTCCTCAGGCGATGTTAAACTACTGGCCATGTTTTAATATCCTAAAATAAATAATTATATATATATATATATATATATATATATATATATAATCCAAAGAAGGATATGCAATTTTATTCATCCTTACCTAGAATTTCGGCTTTAGTCCCTTCACCATCGTCATAACATAGCTTTTCTATAAATATTGTCATGATAATTTTTTCTGATGATTAATCTTCTATGGTACCTAGACTTTATGAACTTAAGCACAGTCCATATTCTTGGTTTCCTGTCAAGTTTGTTCCTCCGAAATTGAAATACAATGTCAATCGTTATCAACTGTCTTCCTGATTCCTCTTGTTTTATTGTTTACGCCCCATTAATAATTGTTGTATAAGAGGAAGTGTCGTTGCCGACACTGTTGTTTGAAACTAGATCGCCAGTTTGTAACACGGGCGATTCCATTATTACGTAGATCATGTGATCATGAAGGAAGTGAATAAATAGGAAGTAGGGAGATGACTATACGGATCACTGTTCACTCTTTTTGTTATCCACTATTGCTATTGCTATACGTTTACTCTCTCTACTCTACTACTATACGGATTACGATTCTATTCTGATCATTATACTATTTGGCGATTACTACTTGAACAAGTATTACTAGTGCGGATATTATTGGAAGACGTTACTTTTAGTACCGGTGTCTACGAAGTCTCGAATATAACAAGCATTTTTGTAAATGATAACGAACTTTTGCTTGGCATAGAAAAAGTGAGAAGCCAAGCCGTCCAACATCCCAAAAATAATCATCTTTTTTTATTCTTTACACTCAGTAACCCGTTGCGCCTCAGTGGCTTTACTGCCTTGCTTTGCGTGAAATGATTAATATATATATATATATATATATATATATATATATATATATATATATACGTAAAAGAGGATAATGAGGTCAATATCCAGTAGAGTCAGTTAGTTTCATGCTTAAGTGCAATCGTCAGGCCACGACAATTGCGCTTAAGCATGAAACAGACTGTCACTGCTGGATGTTGAATTGAATGTCTACTTTTATGCTCTGTCCCTGATATTGAGCTTTTTAACCTATAAATATAGAATACCATAGAACTATATTTTGATCATATTATATATATATATATGTATATATATATATATATATATATATATGGGTGTGTGAGTATGTTCAACTAAACTATATTCAAATATACAAATATATAGTGTATATATTCAAATATACACTATTTACATTATTATATTATTTATTACACACACACACACACACACACACACACACACACACACACACACACACACACACACACACACACACACACATATATATATATTGTTTTGATTAATTCATCCCGTTCATAGCGATAATGCCACTATGACGCAAAGGGCTACTAGGAGTGAAAGAGAATGAAACCGGAAATCCAATCTTAAACAGGAAACAAGGGATAAACTTCTACTCATATTCAAAAGACCGCCGAGGAGTGTGAACCGGATCATAGGCGAACCTATCTACTCCTATTGAGAAAATGAAGAAATTTTCAGAGTTTAGGTGGAGACGTCAGAAGTATAGAGTTGAAGTATACTTTAGAATGAACAGAAACCCAATTCTAAACAGGAAATAAGGGATACACCTGTACACCTGTTCAAAAGACTGGGGAGGATTGTGAACAAGACGATAGACAGAATGGAGGCACCTAGTTAGAATCGAATTCACTGAACTTGCAGTAGATTCTCAAGCTTGCTTAATATTGCTCTACGAGTGGCGCCCTTTATATCTTGCTTACATCTGTATGTCTTGTATTTCGCAAATGTCGAACTGTAAATGGTAAGCCAGAATTAATATTCTCGTCTGCATAATACAGGATCTCTGATTCTGAAACGGTAGTAAGAAAGTGTGCCGCCGTGAATACAATCATCGAAAAATATTCAGGAAATTTAACAAGTACATCGCTTGAGGGAGCCAACGCCAGAACAGAATCTTTTGAAAACCCCAAGCGAAAATGTCTTTTGAAAACCCCAAGCGAAAATGTCTTTTGAAAACCCCAAGCGAAAATGTCTTTTGAAAACCCCAAGCGAAATGTCTCCCTCAATAGTTGGATTTTAAGGAGTGTCATCGAGAATTTGTTTACTGAGATTTTTTTTTTTGCTTTTAATTCATTGTGTTTGCTTTTATTTTCGGTGGTTTTATTTAATCTCGTGTTTATTTTATTTTATTTCAAATAATTTATCCACGTATTAGTTTGTATCACATGATAGGTTGAATACTCAAAAAGCCTGGGTTTGGAGTTAGCTAGTTGGCGTCAAGGGTGTGTGTGTACTATAATCATTTATGATTGGAAATCTGGTTCAGTTTAACCATATCCAGTAGAGGAGCAATAACGCATAAATTCCTGCAATCAATTTCTATTGAAACATGTGCTTTTAATATTCAATGAATTGCTATTGTAAATCTGTGTAATTCTATATTTGCTTTTGATTGTACCATATGAAATATCGGATACAAGGCGATGCAATAATTCCAGCAATCCATTTTTTTTAAGCATTACGCCCCGAGCAAGGCGTGAAGCCACTAGAATGCAGGGAGTTGCAGAAGATTTGGAGCAAGAGCAGATAGGAGTGATAAAAGAAAGGATGAGGAGAAGGATAGTGGGTAGATCAAGGTAACTGGAGATGTCGATTGATATTACATTTGAATAGTTGGAGATTATAGCTCTCAGGGAAACAGTAATAGGGAAGGGTGTTCCACAGGCGAGAGGTGCGAGGTATGAAGCTATTGGAGTAGAAGAGACGGCTACATTTAAAAGTTTCTACAGTGTAAAGATGAGAGCGGGATGACAGCCTCGTAGGGCGCTTGAATTCATGGAGTCTGGGAACCAGTGAAAGCAGCTCATCAGAGCAATTACCATGAAAACATTTGTAGAAAAGACAGAGAGAGGCGACGGCGTGTCTGTGAAAGAGTAACTGTAGACGAGATGCCAGATCAGGGTCAATTATATTACATATCCGACTCTGGATCTTGTCAAGAACTCCGAGGTAAACAGAAGGTGCCCCAGACCATATATGGCAGCAATACTCCATGCAAGGGCGAATGGTTGATTTGTATATTTGAAGTATCGATTCCGGGGAGAAAAATTTCCTGAAACGGGTTAATGATAATGTGTGATTTGCTATTGTAAAACAGGCTAAATCTAATTTTGCTTTTGCTTGTACCATATTTGTATTTTTTTTTTCACAAAATTTCCACCGTACTCACATGTTCAGTTTTTAAAATTCCCTAGTACTCACATGTACAGTCCATTACATTCCTAGCATCCTTCTGTAGAACCTTCTGAAAACACCGGTTCTCGTCCGAACACCGAAGTTAAGCAGTATCGAGTCCGGTCAGTACTTAGATGCAGATCGCTTGGTCATACCAGGGTACTGTAAACAACCTCCTACAAACTTAAATATGTTTCAGTAGTAAATAAACCATCTTCGGTCATCATCTTCCCCAGAAATGCTACTATGGGGAACATACTCCCGAAACAATGCTTATCTAACACCAACAGTATTGGTATAGTAAAGTCTAGGGTCAAGCGATATCTTTTATTATGCACACTATTTACATTATTCGCACTATTGTCCTCATCTTTGTCGCCATATTTATTACAACGTTTCGGCTGTTGTACGCTCCGGCCTTCTTCAGGTGGTTGGAATGTCGAATTGAACCCTTTATTTCGCTCACTGGGGTCGACTGTTCTAGTTCCGCGTGCCATATCTAATGGATGTCAGTTATCCACCGTTCAATGGGTCCTTGAAGACACATGGCACAGTGGATAAAGGCGTTAGTTAGATTCAGTGACAGGACGCAAAGAGTGTGAGTTCAATACCCGATTAAGGCAGTGGAGAACTTTCAGAGAGAAATTAACAGGAGATAACTGATAACTGACATCTATTAAGCATGGCACGTGGAACTAGAACAGTCTACCCCAATGAGCGAAATAAAGGGTTAAGTTCGACATTCCAACAATCTGGAGGAGGCCGGAGCGTACAACAGCCTAAACTTTGTAATAAATATGGCGACAAAGATGAGAACAATAGTCCGAATAATGTAAATACTGTACATAATCTCATCTCAGAAATATAGACAGATATCTTTTAATTATATATTATTAGAGAGACATATTCTCCCTAAGAGAAAAGTGAGATAACTCCCTATGACCCCCAAATTGATGTTTGCCCTTGGAAGACATGGGATTCCAAGATGTCTAACTACTGTCACAGTGATAGCAAATCGATGAACATTATCCTTATCAATCACTAATTAGCACGAAATGGTAGTTATGGAAAATAAAATACCCTTATGTTTTTATCTAGGAATCGTTGCATTTTCTTATTTCTTTATTTTCTTTGACTTACGCTCTCCACTGGGTATCATAGCATATATAATATGCACTTCTTACTTGTTTCTACACTCAGTAAGACTCAGTAACACTCAGTAACACTCAGTAAGACTCAGTAACACTCAGTAAGACTCAGTATCACTCAGTAACACTACCTTGTGCTTTATATGGAGTGAACTAATAGTCAAATAAAAGTTGATCTTACTGTCTCACATAATGTGGAAAGAGAGTTTGTATAATTTGACAATCACGGGATATATTGAAAGAAAAAAGGCAGAGAGAAATACCTAACATGCTTGTGTAAAAGGAAGGAAGAACATGGACAGAGAAGGATAGTAAGAATTAATGCTATAATGGATGGGAAGTTGTGGAGAGCCATCATCGTGCATATCTTGAAGAGACACAACGCATAAAAGAAGATTTGATAAGGTACGACAAATGAAATATTTGAACTCTTAGGACAATTTATTCCGGAAATATCCAAATAATCCGAAGCATTTATTGCGACCAAACCGTCTGCATACGGATAGAAAAAAAGAACTGGGCAAGAAATCAGGTTCTTCAGAAAGAGGCTGAAAATACCATGGACAGAGAATGTAAGCATCAGAGAAGGTTTAAGCGAGATGACAACAATTAGAATCAGAAAAGAACAGTTGATATTTCCAGGAAGACATAATGAGGAAAGGAGGCTTGTAGAATTTGACACTCACGGTGCATACTAAAGTCAAGAAGGGCATCGGGAAGCAATGACTAACCGAAATGACCAGCTTGTCGAAGGCCAGCGACTGGGAGGAATAGTAAAGAGATACACATTGTTTAGCGCTACGAAAGATAGGAAGATGTGGAGATCCATAATTTTGAAAGGATACTGACATTGATGTTTCTCCGTCTAAGATGTGATCCGAAACTACCGTTGGTTGGTTTTGTTTAACGGCATGTCAGCCTTTATGGGTTACTTAATGTCGAAATCTAAATATTTTGGACGCAAATTTATTTTATTTTTTTGAGATTAAAATGGTTTTAGTGATACAAGGACTATGTGAACATTCTTAAAAAATAATATACCAGCTTGAGTTCTTGGGTGTAAGCTTGATATTTACTATAAATATGTACTGTTAGTAATATTTTTTACATAAAAGTGTATTGTTGTTAATTTTACTATAAATATGTATTCTTAGTAATATTTTTATATAAAAATGTATTGTTGTTAATTTTACTATAAATATGTATTCTTAGTAATATTTTTATATAAAAATGTATTGTTGGTAATTTTACTATAAATATGTATTGTTAGTAATATTTTTATAAAAAAATGTATTGTTGTCAATTTTACTATAAATATGTATTGTTAGTAATATTTTTATATAAAAATGTATTGTTGGTAATATTATTTCTATATTGAAATGTATTTTTATACTTTCATATTTTTTTGTTTAGAATTTTTGTATTTGCTCATAGCCGGGACCCTAACAGGCGCTACCATCCCGGGTCAAGCTGGACTTGGGAACAACAGAAATTAAGAGCTGGTTACCCAACCCAATATCCCAATCAGAAACCTTGCTGCCAGATGTAGTTTATCGTCATGCCCAGGACTTATTCACATCTTTTTTTTTTTACATCTGTCCGTATTCACATCTGCTTTTTTTTAAATGTCGTGAATTGAAACACAGGTATATTTGGTTTTGCTTGTTTCCTTTTAAACTTACAACTAAGACGGTTTCTATTCCTACACATCCAGCGTATAACGTTTCATGAAGTATTTAAATTTGAGGAAGAAAGATATTTTCGTCTGAATCTCGAACTAAAAACGCAAATATCACACTTCAAAGGATTCTTTTTTTTTTGTCTGTAAGAGACGCGTCTAACCATTTATATGCCTAGTATTTAGAAAAGGATGTATTTTCTTTTTATCTTTATTTTCTTTCTGTTATTTTCTTTGTAATCCTGGGAAAATAGCAAGATTTTTCTCCCTTCTTAGTTTATTTTGGAAGCGGCTCTTTTCCAGAAATTCTGGAGACGAAGACTGAAATAAATCGTAACAGAAGCAAATAAAATTACAATGAGAAACAATACACTTCACTTTGACAATCTTATAGAGTAGGAATGAAATTTTACACAAAAAATACATAATGATTGGCAAGTAATAACATTTGAAAGCAAACAAAAGATATTTGTTTTGAAACCAGAAAGAAAAAAAAAACGAAACAAAAAACCCAGGAAATTTTATTTGAACTCATCCGTTAGAAGATTGTCTTTATCCAGAGATATGTCCGGATTAGAAGATATATTTTTTTAATCAATTCACCCCAAGTAAGGCGATAATGTCACTAAGACGCAAGTGGCTACTGGGAGTGAAAGAGAAGGGAAATACTATGGAAGGAATCGGAAACCCAATCCTAAACTGAGAACAAGAAATAAATCTTTATTTCTTTTCAAAAGAACGGGGAGGTCTATGAACCGGGCGATAGACGAACTATTTACTCATATCGAGGATAAACAAAATAAAAAATATAACAAGGTTAGTAAATAAAATATTTATCGTTGTTTATGGGAAATTACTCCAATTGGCTTGCGAGAGGAATTCTCTTAAGACTCGTTATGTGGAGTTGTATAAAGCAGTACAAAAAGAAAAAAAAAAGAAAGAAAAAAGAAAAAAGAAAAAGAAAGAAAGAAAAAGGAAAAAGAAAAAGAAAGAAAGAAAAAAGAAAAAGAAAAAGAAAGTTTTGGAAGTTTTGATGAGCGTTGGATCATTAATTGCTGTTGTTCCCAGGCTTACCATGATCCGGGGTGGTAGCACCTGTTAGGGTCCCAGCAATGGACACATAGTGAATTCTCAAACAAAAGCAAAACACTATGAAAGTTTTAAAATACAAGCAAGACATTTTTCTATAAAATATTACCTACAATACCTGTTTATAGAAAAATGACCAGTACATTTTTTCTGTAGTTGAAGGCGCACAATTTTGTTCAAAATATTTAGATTTCGGTATTAAATAACCCATAGAGATGTTGATATGCCGCTAAACAAACCCAGGCGATCAACCAGTTGGAAAAAAAGAAAAGAAAACTCATGCGAACACAATAATATCGTTACTATAAACTATCAAATATATATATATATATATATATATATATATATATATATATATATATATATATATATAAAGAGACTATCATTATTGTTTTGTCCGTGTATTGCTTAATATATTGTAATGTAATTGTCATCTTTGATAATGGCTTATGTAAGCCAAAAGCTTAGATAGGATTAAAAATATGTATCAATATTGTGATTTTCTTTCTTCTTCTAATGATAATGTTATTAAGCTTATCAGACGATATGAAAAGAATTTACATAAAATAAATAGACAAAACTTCTCTATATTATTTAATAAAATATGCATCAATATATATATATATATATATATATATATATATATATATGTAGTATGTATGTATAGTTATCCCCAGATATACTGTGTCGCTGTATCACAGCTCATCAGTGTGGCTAGACATCCGAATGCTTCAAGCCGGGATCGAAAATCGACCGATTTGACATCAGTCATAAACTCTTACCCCTAGGCTATCGGTGCACAAAAAAGAAAGGGGATTTTTAACGCATTATATACGTGATATATAAATGCTATTCCTTAATTCGTACGAAGAGCGATACGTTAAAGCAGTAAACCGGTGTAACAACAAAAAGCGGATCGAGCCGTTTTTGACATCTCGTCGGGTAGTTTTAGCGGACGATTTGAATGCTGTCCTTGACCCCGATATAGATCGTATAGCGGCAAGATCGGGTACTAACTGAGACGTGAAACCATTTCGGGATTTTCTCGATAAGTTTGATCTTGTCGATGAGTACCGTAATGAACACGTTAGGGAATTGGGCGAATAGGAACGGCTCGGATACAGATGTGCGTTCTAGCTATTTCGACCGGGTCTTTGGAGAGTCTATGTAGGGCTTTTAGGGTGTACAAGTTTCCATTATATAGTTTACTCGGATCATAGGCTCGTCCGGATTCGTGTAAATTTAGATAAGT